CTCTCTCTCTCTCTCTCTCTCTCTCTCTCTCTCTCTCTCTCTTTCTCTACAACCTTCGGTGGCGGAACCGGCCGCCCACCACCCTCCAGCCACCAGCTACGCTCAGCGGCGAATCGTCGTTTTCTGGTGGTGCACGACGAGCCCTGGCACTGGTCGGGCGCGTATAAAGTCAGTCGGGCTAGCCCAGTATCGCGGCACAGTGATACCCGGTGACACACATCCATGTCAGGTCGTGATAGACGCACCGAGAACGGGATCGAAAGTCGACGAAAAGTATCCCGTATTTTCATAGAGTGCTCGAATGAAATTAATCTTGTGACTGTGGGTGATAATCGTACTGATCGCGACGCTCATTAAACAGTTAGTATACCGTGAGCCTAATGAGAGAGTACCTATATAAAGAATACAATTAATCATTATTGCGTGTCGTGAAACCGAGGCTGTCCGCTTGTTGCTATACTACTTGGGCGACCGACGACGAATCGGGTCAGCGTGGCGTCTAAGTAGTTGTAATCCGTAACTGTTCAGACATTCATCTCGTCCTTAATGGAGAAAGATAAAATAAGCAGTTGTGACGTAAAATTAATTGAATCGGGTCACGGATAGAGTAATGAGCTGCGGTCGTACACGACCGCTGAATCGTAATGAAATCAGACGTCCCTCTATTCAGCTTTATACGCGATTAACGTGGAAAGTGGCGATTCTCGAGAGCGAAAAACGAAGCGGAGTTTTATTGAGCAAGATAAATTTGTAGAAAGTAGGGCAAAATGCGGATAGCTGCAAGAAAAGGATTATAATCCTTGAGAGACTTAAGTCCAAGCCAGATAACGCGGTAATATAATTTTGAGGAACCTTAGTAGAGAGATACGTCAATCAGAATAAATATCGATTTTAATTGACGTTTAGATCAGCACCTCTACTCTTTTTTCGTGGTGTTTATTGAAAATCGATCTAGAATGTTCTTTTTTGATTAAACGCTTTATAGCGCAATGAGACTCTCGTGACACTTATGTAAATCTAACAATCGTCCTGACATTCTACTAATCTAAAAAATTAAGATAGCACAAGAAAGTTTTAATATAATGTTCATGATTCTTCAAAACGTGTGATGGTCAAAGATAAAAAAGAAAAAACAAATTCTGGATAAACTAGATAATTTGAATAATTTGATTACATGTTGACAGTTTAGAAATGACGACGGTGATTTTTACATAGAAAAATTTGACGTGCCACTCTTGAACTAAATTCTACGATATGTAATGCGAATTATGTAAAATTAATTATTCGAAATTTAAAACATACTGTGTTCAATAAATATTGTGCTACAGAATTATCATTATTATACTAATATATCGTTCCAGCAATCTATTGATCTTTACTCAATATCAAAGCAGTAATTGTTTCTTATATTATAATTTATGTAAATTTAGTGGCATACCTTTATCATTTAAATTTTTAAAAATTTATCACTTAAATGTATAATTGTAATCTACTTTAAATAATCTAATATTTTTCTTAAACTTAACATATTATAAAAAAAGCATGAACCTGTATTTTTATAACAATGTAAATTTTTTCATCGCTCTGATTTTGGAAATCAGAGAAAAATCCGAATTTTTAATCGTACAATAAACGCGTATAATCTCGATTGGTGATGAGAGTGCGCTATCGGGGCTATATCCGAATCGGTTTAGGTAAAGTGACGAGCTGTAATTAATCGGCCACAAACGTACGGCAATATCGTAACGCGACTGATTGATTTAACGAAAGCGAATTACGTCCTAGGCAAATGCATCTTTACTTCAAATGATACGTAATTAATATCACGAACTTTATTGACGTTGGATATGCAGTCATATCTAATGCAACAATAACAAATTACGCAATATTGAAAATACTATCCGTCGAAATGAGATTATTTAAGTTAATAATTGATAGAATCAAACATCACAAATTCTGGTAACAGGTATCGGATCAGATATTTAATTATTTTCTACTTTCAATGGCTTATTTTTATTTTTGATCAATTTAGTCTATTTCGTATACTTTCCTTCAGTATATACATATGTACATATATATATACAGTACGCTTGTAATATTTATGCTATTATAATAAAAGCTTCTCATTAATAGCATTAACTAAAAGCTTTTATACTATTAACTGATGTGAAAATTTATTTCTGTTAATAGTCAAGCGAGTAAATAAATATTGATTTTTATCGCAGGACACAGAGATTCGCGCGCGACTTTCTGTGAAATTGTTATTCCACGTCGAGACGAATTCGAAACTCCAATCGCTCGAGGAAACGCGCCACTTTCCAAATACTCCGTATGCGAATGTAAACTTTAACGTTTGCTCGAGAATCGCGCCAGGTACTCCAGAATTGATTGTTAAAGCAGTAGATTCGCGTCGGACGTCCAAGTGTTTAACGCGCGCGAGCGGCGTTAAACTTTTGACGGCAAAAGTTTCACGATTACAGGCACAAAAGCGGTAAAGGGTTACGCTAAATCATCTGAGTCACCGGCATCCTTTTGCTAATTATCTCGGATGAGTCTCTGTTATTAAAGTCGCACGCATTGCCGAGGAAACAGTAGACTCAATTGTCACGAGAGCGGAGGCTCGTCTCGCGACTTTCCAACTCGGACAGTTGTTTTGCACGCGTTCGTCAAAGTGCCGGACAAATTGTCAGAGGTTCTGGGCGATGTCCTGGAGTTATGCGGAGGCGGAGGCGGTGGCGGTGGCGGTGCGGCAACCGGAGACAAGAACATGTCGAACAACCCGTCGGGTGGAAGCGCGGCTACTAGGATCGGCGCAGTGACAGGAGTAGCGATAATCAAGGGTAGATGGGCCCAAAGAGGCACGAGATCGCCTCTCTCTTCCGTCGCTAATACCGATAGTGCCGACAGTACAACTTCGACCAGTTCGGAGGTACAACTATATATATATTTCACAATTGTATACATAAAATGTTAAACAGTTGCAGCTAATGACTTGGTACTTGTAATAGAAGATTTTGTATATTTTATATTTTGTATTTTTCATCAATTTTTTTCCCGGGGTAGATATATTTTTTTTCTATTTCGTACGAAATACATTTTCACATATTTATGTATGTGTGGTCCTTGCTCTAAATAAAATCTTGACCAATTTCAAATATTCAGAGACATCCAAAAGATTTTCGAAAGCATCTAAAAAATTTAGCTATTGTCTTTGAAGATTTTGCCGAGGATAGAAATCTGAAAGAAAAATACCTCGGATTATTCGCAAAAACTTTAGACGTACGCGCGATAGTGCTATGTACTTTCAACACCTCGGAAATCTGGATGCACTTGTTGCGTCCGTTCTAGCGTGGGCTTCTCTCTTTGTTATACGCGTGTGACTTCCCTCACCGCATTCTCTGCTTGCGTGTCGCGACCATTTTACGTTGCACGTGCAACTAATCTCGAACGACGGATTTAATTATAATTATTTTTTATCTTCCAAGCAATGCTATTTCTGTGGTATGCAATTTTATGATAATTCTCTTGCAAAAACATGTAATTTTTGCGATATTTAAAGAATTTTTTGGAATTTATAAAAAATTGCGAAATAAAGTCCTCAAGTAAAATAAAAGTTACGTAAGTTTATATTGATGTTCATGTAATGGAATCACTATAAGTAAATTGAGTTTTGGAGCTCATCATAGAAAGAGTTGACTGTTATATCCACCGATTCAGCGTCGGCGTCGTCCTAGAAACGCTCACTTGTTAATAGAATAAAGTATAGAGGATTTGAATCGATAGCCGATTGCGCCATCACAATTAATTGAATGGAAATTAAGTTTATCGCGCATAGACGTCGCCTATCGTTACCTATTGTTATCCGCTAAATAATAAATATCAATTGTGTATCTTTTAAATTTGTTAAAAACAAATCAGAACATAAAAACTTAAAAGTATTCTATTCTACGTATTACTAACACATGCAAATATGTTTAAATCAGAGATGTTATGTAATAAAGATATTATTGTCTAAATAATATAAATTACTGATTATTTAATAATTTGATATCGAGTATACAACTTTAAATATAGTCGTATATAAAAATAATTATGATTCAATTTCTCAACAAATGCTGTACAATATAATATAATGTAATATAATAAAGGACTTTTATCTCAGGGGCGTATAATTCGTTATATAGATGAACGTATATAGTCGAAACTCAAATTTATTCGTTACTGCATCTTATCAAATCTTTATTATCATCTTTTTTCGATTATCGATTATTGTCGTCCTGCGTAGCAAACTTTTACAGAGCATGTACATACAACTCTGACGTAAAAGTTAATTAAAATTCAACAAATACAGCTAATTTTACAGCGCAAAACGACGTCTGCCACGTTCCGGATCAATGCCTTTCAGTTGACAAGGAACGAGGAGTGGTTAATTGATATTGGAACAGCTATGACAGCTACACACGATCATTCGTGATCGAGATATCGTCACAGATTGACATGCGTCCAATTTCTAAAACTCTTGACAAATCACGTCAAACTTGCGATATTATAATATACATATGTTGCAAATCTGACAATAAAATATTCGACTAAATCTATACATTATTCTAAATTGTAATTGCTTTGAAAATCTTATAGAATGTGGATCAATAGTAAAAATTTTATTGAAAGACTCTATTGTATTATTATTTTAAAATAGTAATATTTTTCTCCCAGTAGGTATTTAAGAATATTTTAATTTTTTTTTAATTATTAATTATTCGTTTATTTCTGACTTACATTTACCTAAATTTTTCTACTTGCAAATAATATATTTTATTACAGTTGAGTTTTATTTCAATATAATACAAATGCATTATTATCGGAAAGTCGAAGAACTTAATAATTATATCCTAAATCTAAGAACATTGTTTTTCCATAAACTATACTTTAATTACTATGAACTGTATCTCGTTGCTTGCTTCATGTAAAAGATTAAATTTTTGTGTAAAAAAGTTGTAATTCCATCTTTGTTATCAAGTCTCGGATAACTTCATTTCGTAGTCTCGCGCGTTCCGAGAAATTTCACAATAATCAAGCGTGAACTTGATGCGAAATAAAAGAAGCTATTTGTAATTGCGGATCGTAACTCAGCGCATCTCCATCCCAATAGAAACGCTGCTTCCGACGCACCTAAGTACAGAGAATACGTTCTCCGACATAATCATATAATATTTTTAGCGCATTATAGCGCTATTCTCTCCAAGTATGAAATACATGTGTGGTATTTTTAAAATGTGCTGGAAGACAGCGTGTGTGCATACGTGTACCTATAATTTACCACCGAAGGCACTAATATAAACTCTGCACGGCCACAATGCTACTTACTCCAAAGTACTATTTTCTTCATAGAAGAATTATAAAAAATTTCACATGCAGGTTTATATACTTTTGTTTATGTTTATGTTACTGCGCATTAAAATCATCCCTTGTAATAAAATAGCTAATTTTGCTTTGCATGAAATATACTTATTACTGTAGACAGAAAATAAACATGACGCTTTTAATATCTCTTTGTTGCATAAAATATTGCACTTATACATAATTCTTATAAGAATTCTTCGTTTCTTTATGATCATGAAAAAAAAAAAAAAAAAAAAAAAAAATCTTAAAAATACAAATTCAGTTTTTAGACTACAGCGACATAATGTAATAGACAAATGTAATAGAACGCGAAAAGTAACTTTTCGTTTTTATATCTAATGCGATTATAAGAACTTGATAAAATTTGGATGTTAAAAACAATTCTAATTTTATGTACAACCAATATAATTTTAAATGAAACTGACTGCAAGCAAAATCTATTACCAAAATATTATGTTTTGAAAAGGCGTCTTTTTATATGTGCAATGCTTTAGTTTGCATTATATTCTGAAATATTCAACAGTAGATAACTTTAATTATTCACAACTAATTTTGATTTTATAATATAATAATATAATAATATAATAATATAATAATATAATAATATAATATATTTATATAATAAAAAGTCCATAGATTTAAATTTAATGTTTCCACGTTTTATATCGCTTGTTGTGTCGCTTCTATTCTAACGCCTAGGTTTAACGGTGACTATACTAAATTCTGCCACCGATATTTATTATGCATGATCGATGACGGTACATTTTCTAAGTGAACATATTTTACCTGCCGCACTCCGTGCGAGCTCGTCGTACGTCCTCGAATATTCTGCGTTCGCGGCTTTTATGGGACGTCATTCCAGACGTGAAATGTTTTATCTACTACAAGGAACTTCGTTCCAGTACGCTACGTACCGGTCATCGCTGTGTCGGACAAAATTTGCATGATAAAGCAAGTTAATTTTTCTGCCGCTGGGTAAAATTAAAGTGGACGCTACGTCGTAATAAAATAAGTTTCGCAGAGAGAAAAAAAGAAAAAAATTCTTGTATCACGTGCATATATGAATTTTTAATGTCGTTAATAATTCGTAGTTTTGCGCTTTTCCGCATGCGCACGCCGTGTTATCGAGACAGCTTTGATTCACACGAAAAGATCTATCACTATGATTATTACTATATAATTTTAATTAAGTCGTTTGCATTTTTGTTTTTTAATCCTGATCGCTTTGATATTTAATCGAGATCTATAATGCATGTAGTTTTTGTATTTTATTGCTTAATTAAATGTTCAACATAAAAAATTGTAACAATTTTATTGCCTCTGAAGAAAGGAAACAAATGCACATTTAAGCTGAATTTTAGAGTAGGTACGCGATATTATGTGACATACGTAAAATATATTATCCAGGATTTCCTGTAGTTTACTTAAATACAAGAAATAATAAAAATATAATCATTTTAAACAAAAAGGAAAATTAACATTTCAAATCGTGATAAACAGCTGTTAGTCTCTGTATTGATAGTATCGATTTCGTATATACCTTTGTTTATCATTTATAGGCCTCTAGTTAGAAGTATAAAGATTGTGTCTAATTTGTCAGACATCAAATAACGTCCGATACACGAGCAATGGTATTGCTCTGCTAAATTTTATACAGAAGGTTTCGTCAGTTAGCACGCTTACACATCACAAACACTTAAATACTTATGTTAATTGTTGGTATATATTTTTGTGAACATAAATCTCAATCGATGATATAATATCGCAGATAGGAAAACGATGGCAATTTTGATGTTTCGACTCGATGGGCGGAACCGTGTATTCCGTTCCGTGCTCTGCTTCAAGTATCGACCCGTCAAAGGCAGCTTCTAGCGACCTCACCCCGTAACTGCCACCTACCCTCTTATCACGATGCTGAAACACGAAGTTGGTATCTTTGAGTCTCTCTCTCCCTCCCTCTCTCTCTCTCTCTCTCTCTCTCCCCCTCTCTTCCCTACCCTCCTTGGCTTCATAATTCAAAGGTTCGTCCTTATCAAGGGCTTATGGAGAATGCTTCGAAACATCAAAGGAACCATTCGATTATTTCCGCCATCTGAATACTTACTATCCTTAAAAGACCATCTCGAATAAAAATCGCATTTCTTTAAGAAGACTAAATTCTATTCACGTGGTTGTTGTATCGTTTAGAAACGTTTTCTTTCTGTTATTGTTATTTCAACATCAAACATTGATTTCTATATAAAATAAAATAAAATGAAACTTTGCCCGAAAGGCCGATATAAGTTATAACAAACAGATTTAGAACAAAACTAAGCGAGTCCTTGTTTCGTGTATAAATATACAATATAATTAGGGACAATAATACAATATTCATGTGTATCTTATTGAATGTGCAATGTGAGTGACACATTGCAGTTAATTATTAAATATATATCCATATGTTCATAAACTAATTGTAAGATGTATATATGCATATAGAAAATTTTTATATTGACCTTTACGTTTCATGGTTGTATCACAATTTTTCACTCTAGATTTTCTCAGAAGTATAAGTCACGGTTAAAATTAGCAAACACATTTATAACTTATTCTGCGTTTATTTTCAACATTTTTGACAGAAAATATTTAAAATGTTAGATATTCATGTATATAGGTTACAGTTTTTAAGAATTTCTCAACTTAAATAAAACGTTTTTTATTCAAAATGTACATTGATAATTGAGTTATAGAAGCAACTCTGCCCAATATATTTTATTCATTTAATCACGTCCGTTGCTAGAAAACTAAAAAGCTTAACTTTGTCATATGAGTCCATGAGTGAAACAGTCACCGCGCCGAACAAATATTATTACAACAATAAGTTGAAACTCCTGAAACAAGCGATCTTTAATTAAAACGCTAACTCCGCCGACAAGTAAAGCAACAGAATACGAATCACCTATTCACCAAGTTACGATTAAATCGTTAAAATGCATGCTGCATTTGCTTTCACGGAGAAAAGTTGCACGCACACACGTGTGCGCACGCACGCAAGTGATACCTGCAGTAGAGGAAAATATCGACATAATTCTCTGCAGCAGTAAAGCCAGAAACGGCAGAAATAAAGAATGACTAAAACAAAGGGTAATTAATGTCTCGTATCCCTGGCAATGCCGGAGAATACATTGATACGCGCAATACGCGCATACACGTCGATATACGAAACCGTTGGTATATTATAGTGCAAATTAATTAATGTGCAATTTACTGGGAAATTTTGAATACGAGTATCAGTAATATTCTTTATGTTATGGAATCATCAGTGACGTAAAATTTGCTCTGTGTGTCAGAGTTTACATTATTTACACTATTATATTTATGAGAATCTGATTGTAAATATAAGTTGCAATCACTTAAAAGAGAATTATTGAAAAGATAGTATATTCTCTACTCGGCGAGAGCTGCTTTTCCGCAATTACGTTCCATGTAATACAAATTTGACAAATATGCAATTAGATAATTTTATTTTACAAAATAAAAATATTGTGAGAAAACACTTAAACTTTCTATTTCTCATTTAACCGTATATCATTTCTCTCACATTTTTCTTTTTCTATATATAAATTTTTATGTTCTCAATAAATATTATCATCTCATACATTGCCTATGACACGTGTCATTCATAATAAACATCATAATGATACATTAATATATAGAAAAATAAATATCAAGTTTATTTCCGCAACGATATGATTATTTTATGATATAAACAGGTATGGAGTAAAGATATTTCGCGCAAATAAATTCCAGCAGAATTTCTCATCCGAGAAAAATATTAGAAATTTCTTGTCGAGAAATTCTCCAATGCAAAATTGGAGCGAGAGTCACGCGTCACGCACAGCTGTACGCGCGCTGCTGTATACATTCAATTAAATTTTTAAATTAAGTTTTTTTTTTACGAAGGGAAATCCGCACGGATACTCCCTCCCCCAGGGCGGGGAGGGCGGTTATGTGGGACTCCAACCCACTAAAAATCCCCCGGTTGTCCCTCTCGGCACGTTTTACACTGTTAAAGGTTAGAGGATGAAATTTAAACCAATACCATGAGTTAGATTTATTTTGTTATTTTTAACTATCATGTGCGTCAAAATTTATTAGTTTGAAACAAAATAGGATTATTTTAACTCTATTAGTCAAATTAACATTGTTTTAGTTAAATTAACTACATATTGAGTAGGAGCAGTGGCGACCTATGGAATAGTTAAAAATTACTCAAAATTGAGTTTAATTTAACCCTATGAATTTAACAAGGGAAACGCACTAATTCGTCTGTCACCCCCCCTCCGTGCCATGCCCAGTTTTCCGGGCATCTCTAACTTGTGGCAGATGAGGGGGACAACGTCCCCATCCTCCACCCCTCTTTCCGGGATTGTTTAGCGCACGGGAGCACGGCAGTCCCCGACCGCACACCCGCCCCCGGGACGAGAGGGGGGAAGGAGTGTGTCACTGTGCCAGACTAGAGTCAAGCTCAACAGGGTCGCTTCTTTCCCCGCTAATTTTTCCAAGCCTGTTCCCTTGGCAGTGGTTTCGCTAAACGACAGGTTCCCTCCCCCCTCTTAGAGCTCTTAGAGCCCAACTCGCGATTCCGAAACCGGGCGACAGCCGCGGTGCTCCCACCTTTAAGGCCCCGGACACACACTTTTTCGTAACAGTAACAGTAGGATTTCGACCAATCGCGTTGCTCGATTCGAAAACGTACGGCCGTACGTTCCCGAATTGAGTAACACGATTGGTTGAAATCCTACTGTTACTGTTACGAAAAAGTGTGTGTGACCAGCTTAAGAGGTGGGGAGCGGGCCTCGAACCACGAGGGTCGTAAGGCCCGCGGCAACCACGGTGCCCCCGGCGCGGCGGATTGATAATTAAAAATCTATCCGGCGAATATTTAACAAGTATGAAGCACGTTCGGATTGAATAAACCCGACGAGCTTCCTATCGAGTTACTGTTGGTATATTAAAGAGAATTCTAATTGTCCTAATTTTCTATTTCAGGAATTTAACGTTGCGAAGGAGCAACACGCGGTACAACCTTCGGTAACCGAATCGGGTAATTATGAGTGCTTTTAATGGAATTCTTAACGCAAATATTAATATTAATCGGAGTTATGCGTAATTTAAGTGACTCTTTTTCCACATCCCTTCAATACGATTCCTAGAAAATTATATGCAATATATTGCTTATGAGAAATATACGATAGTTAAAATCTTTAAAGAAGAGACAATCAAGTGGTTGAAGCTCAATTGATTTTAATCAATGCCTGTGAAGATGGTTTATAGATATTTCTGTCTGCACCAACGCAAAAACAAGCATTTAAGGTTTTTAATTCCCGACGATTTTTAATGCAGTATACAGTATTTCGCGTTTTGTTTCTATATATATCGATGTGCGCTCGATGCATCGTTTATTTTCACGGACGGAACTCGATTACCCCGAAGAAATTTGTAAACCATCGTCGTGCATAATTGAAATGCTCTCGAAAGCTATCTTCTAGTTATTACGATGATAATTTTTCATCCCGCTTAATTTTATGTAATACGTTTTCCCTGAAGGCTTACCCCATCAGAGTCGCAGTTATCCAGGCGGGGGCGGAAGTGGCAGTCGAACGTTGGCTAGAAATTCATCCGTTAGCTCGCAGAGCTCGGTGGAAGGTGCATCTTGTTCTTCGAATCATCGAGGATCATCGCCTCAAATTAGAGCATTCGGTCCGGACGGGCGACATCATGCGCGACATGATCCTCTACACGCCGCTTCTTCGTATCCACCTAGCAGAAGCTCGAGGTCAGTATATATAGTAAAATACAATACATTTTATTACTATTTAATGTAAATGTGAATATCTGAAAATAAATATAATAGCTCTTTTTCTCTTTAAGTTTCGGTGAATGGTATTTATTAACTTTGCGTAAAGTTATAAACACAATAAAAATGTATTGCTGCGTAACATACGTGGACGTATAGTTTGAAAATATCCCACAGATCTCCTTCACCAGCTCGTGCGGCGTCCTTGGATGCACGTTGTGCAAGTCCTGCCAGTTACACGGGCAGCTTGCATAGTGGACATGCGTCGCCCTCACAAACCTCTTTGTCGTCCGTAGCAACGGGTGTAAGTTCCACTTGCGGGTGTTCGCCGATGAATGCCGTTCAAAGTACTTCCAGACAGACCAGTCGTTGCTTATCGCCCCTCCTCATCCCACCACGTGCTTCCATAAGGTAAATAACAGAATTCTCATAAACGTGATGAATATATATTCTTCATGAAAAATCTTCATGAAAATGTGAAGAACGTCATTTCTGTGTAGAATGACATAATAAAATTCAGGTAAACGCGCGCGCTTGACGAAAATGTCAAAGGAGAGATTATTTCTATAAACGTATTAATAATAATATTATTATTATTATAGAACAAATTATATAACATATTTCATCAATATGTTAATATGTTAATTAATTCTTTTCTCTATAAATTAATCTCTAAATAAATATTCTGATATAATATTAACTTTCAGAATTTCTGTCTGTAATATTATGAGTGAGGCATTAATTATTAGAGAGAGAGGTCGTACGCGGATTTGTCTTGGATAATTATTAAAATTTTATCGAATTCTCTTATCAATATATAGAGTATATTTTGAACATAAATTTGAAAATGTGATAAAATGCTTATTTCTCTGCGATCCATTAGCAGCGACAGTGGTCCCATACCACCTGCTTCTCCACTTGGTTCTTTACAACCGGATCTTTATCAAAGACGTGACGGTCCTGTCTTTCTCAGCGCTCGCAGGTACATAATATAAAACTTGGCTTATAAAACTTTCCTGATGATCTTAAACTGCTTTCTCTCGCTATATATGCAAAAAGTACTTGATTATCGCTAAAGATATTACATATAAAGATACGTCTGAATCAATCGCGATATTTGCGTAATCGCAGGACAGGAAAACATTTGGGCAGGCTTCATCTGCGCTTAAGATATGACTTTGATAAATCGGATTTGGATGTGCACTTGATCGAGGCACACGATCTCGCAGGCAGCGATCAGGGCGGTTTCAACGATCCCTACGTCAAGTTGACTCTCAGTCCGGAAGTGGACAGCAGGAAAAGACAAACGCAGATCCACCGGAACGATCCGAATCCGTTTTTCGATCAGCATTTCAAATTTCCCGTCAGCTACGAAGAGCTGCAGGAGAAAACTCTAGTTTTACAGGCAATTACATATCGTAGAAAATCGTATCGAATGATTCGTAGGATAGAATATAGTAGTAGTAGTAGTAGTAGTAGTAAAACACATTCCTAATTTAATCAAAATCGTTGCAATAATAACGTAACGTTATGATGCAATTAGGTATTCGATTATGATCGTTTCTCGAGGAACGATGTGGTGGGTTCGGTAAGAGTGGCCATGGACAGCCTCGAATTGGTCTCTTCCACTTCCTCGGTAGAAGTTTGGGGTGAAATAGCGAGGGAACGCAAACCGCCGGAAGAGATTCAAGAGGTTTTGATTTCATTGTCTTACTTACCGAGTGCCGAAAGGCTCACGGTTCTTATGATGAAAGCTAGAAATCTGTTTCCCCAACAGGTAGGATATGCATATATAATATATACGCATGTAATAAGCCGATTATTTATATTGATTTGTATCGATATCGATATAAATACAAATAAATGGTTTATTTTTCCTTCAATTGCGCGTCGCCTTTTGTTTTAAAAATGAGAGTGGCCTTCGGTTTACTTGTTTTTCCCTAGTAGGAATATTTCTATCCTCTTTATTAGTAGATAAGACATATATATTTCTTAAAGTGTACGTACTTTCTAATTTCCTCTGCATTTATTATCTTTTACAAAAAAAAGTTTGTTTTGTTTATATCGCTAATTATTTAATAATTAACTTAAACAGTAAACTTCTGAATAATATATATGTAATGCAGGATAAGGAGACATTGGATCCGTTCGCGAAAGTTAGTCTTCTCTGTGGAGAAAGAAGAGTAAAAAAGAAGAAGAAAACGGCAGTTAGGAGGGCAACGACAAATCCCGTTTGGAACGAGGCGATGTCGTTTAATATACCTGCTTCATCACTCGCATCATCGGCTATAGAGGTATATACAACAGTATATCGGTATATTTTAAAAGAATTGCACAAATAGCAGATGACAATATGTAGATTAAAAATAAAAAGAAAATAATTAATTAATAAATTACGTCTGTGTAAGATATGCGTGCTGGACTCGAGCAGCGAGTTGATCGGCGGAAATGCCATCATCGGATCCTGCATCATTGGACCAGCCACAGGTGCGGACAGCGGTAACAGTCAAGGACGAGAACACTGGCTTCAAATGACGCAGTCACCGAGGAAGCAAATCGCTGAATGGCACACGCTACACTAGTTCGATCGTCGTTACGATCTAGCCGTTTGATCGCCCGAATAATTCGCGTCCTTGATCAAAGGAAATACAATCTATCGTCGTGTAACGAATAGTCGTAACGAATAGTCGAATGACCATATACATACATACGAAACGTATAGCGATATTATATGTAAAATGGCAAAAAATAACATGTATTTCTCCATCGTCTTAACAAAAAAAGACAAAAAAAAAAAAAAGAACAAAAAATCCAATGACCCGCTAAGAAATCGTTCTTCTGCACTTTTATAGATATATATTAATGATCGTTAAAGATCCATATAACATTTCGTTGCATCGAATGTCGATGCGCGAAGAGAAAAAAGTAAGAAAGAAAAGTAATGATGAATATTCTTCGTCGTATATCCATGCACTAACAGGCACTACGCACTTGTATTTTCGTTCATTGCACAACACTTTGCGCTACAGGCATGATCCAACTGTGCATTTCTTAATTTTGGATACCTGAACAATTTAGAGATGTAGTTTTAAATTAACATTGATGCATTAATACAAATTCTCCAAAGTTACAATGAAGGAAACGTAATCCAAGCTGTGAAGCAAAAGCAGAGACAGATCTCATGTTTCGCTTAACAGATCAATAATTAAACGTACAAACTAATATTTTAAGATAAGTCACAACTCGAGAAGACAATTATCAAGTCCGAGTTGATGAAATCCGTTGTCTTGACTAAGAAGCTACTTTCTCTCAGGTTTATCTCGTATTTCTCTTATAATTATGCTTCTTCTTCCTCCTCCTCCTCCACCTCCTCCTCTTCGAGAAAAAAGAAAAATACATACATCGGGAGTCTATTATAAGTCTGTCATTGTGTGACAAATGTGGCCTAGAAAAGTAATTAAAGTATGCCGTGTCTATAGCTTGCAAGCTAATCGAAAAGGCCTAATATCTCCGCGAATGAACATGCTAATCGCAACAGCGCGGCAGCGTATTGACTGTGTCGTTATCGCTGTGTATTTTGTCGAATGTGTAATTCATATGCTAAATAAATTGAAACATAATGTGTGTGTAAAGGAAGCAAGTACGAGACGTCTTTCGTTCAGTATCAAACGTAATTAAAACAATGGGCAATAAAATATTGATTTGTAATCAGCATTGATCTTTTTCTCGTCAACGATGTCTCTACAAGCATATGTATGTACTTACTTTTTTACTGAGCAAAAATGAAAAATTTAAGTCTGATTTTTACATGAGTCGAGTATTACGCAAACGCAATATCGTATCCGACTAAAAACTCACCATATCATACTGATAATTTATGCCTTCGTTATCGAATCCATTTCTTCTGATTTTAAATGTCGAAAAATAATAAATGTACGTTAATTGTCATCGTTATGTTTAAGTGTCAGCAATTTGTCAAATTGCGTTGTAATAACCCATTGTTGGAAAGAAAGAAGTAAATGTTAATGAGCGTTAAGTATATCTAAAATAAATATTATAATCAATAAGACTAAATACATATAAAATACATGTAAAACACACACACACATATATATTATATACATACATATATGTGTGTGTGTGTGTGTGCGTGTGTGTGATGTGTGTATGTGAGAAATATATATAGTAGAATTAGAAATATCTTATGCAGCTGCAATTGTAAAGATAGACATTAGTAATAGAGATGATTTTCTACAACAAATCTCGAATCAAGGTTTCTCGAATTCTCTCCTTAAAAGTTGAAAAAGTTTTTATTATTAAATAATTAATAATAATAATAAAGCTTACATGTTTAGAAAACAAAGATCAATTATAATCGTATCGTTAGTTAATTTACAAAATAATTTTAAAACAAAATATTGTATATTATTTGAAATGCATAAGGAACAGCCGCGGAATCATCTCTCGCGAGTGTTCTGTGAATGAAACCAAAATGAAATAGGAAAAGGGCGAATCGATTCAAACGATAAGAATGAAATGTTTACTTTGAAATCAATTTAGATAAGATGATTAAGAAATTAAGTATATATAAAATATTTTTAATGTTTTAGCGGTTCTACGAGTCAAGTATTATTTATGAAGCATTCGTATAATTTTCCGTCAAATATTGTCCACTATTACTAATCTCTATTTTTCCAGCTGCGCTATATTAATATAAATATACACTTGACAAATGTTCTTATATGTTTACCAGTTTACCGTCGTACAATCATCCTGAGTGTCTGCTAAAATGTATAACTTTCGATATTACTATATTTTACCATATCGATGAAGAGTTCTTTATAAAAGCATACTTACACAAGTTCTCTTTATATAAGAGAAGCTCAATTTTTTTCAAAGCTTTGGTCAAATTATATATTTATACATATAATAAAAAATTAACTCGACTTGTTTAACGTGTACACTAAAAATTCAACTGTTCACCCATAAAAAACTGATGTAACATCGGTTATTTCACAGAGCCAACACGAGTTGTTATATTTTTTATGAACTTATTTTTATGAATAAAAGAAAACTCGTTATGGTTCTTTGATCAATAGGAATGACTATTGATGGACCTGAATTTGCCTTGCATTATACGGTATACCAACAAGAGCCTCACTTAATATCTTAATTAACAAAAGATCTAAAAAATAAAAAAGGTCACGTTCGTCCTGCCAATAAAGGATAAGGAAGAGCATTTTATCTTACTTGTCGAGATTTGTAAGTAAAGCGGAAGGAACATTGTTTCGAAAAGTTTTTGAAGATGTCCCCCATGTCCGTACACTGTAAAGAGTAAATAATGTATTCTAAATGTAATGTGTAATCAATATTTTCTTGTAATGTAACTCTCGATTCAATCATAACTTCTTTCAAAATAAAGATTAACTTATTTACATCAGAAATCCGATGTATTTTATCTGAAGTTGCGAAGTGAATTTATATAGATTTGGAATCAGTCGCAGAAGCATATGTACGCACATTTCCTTATTTAAATCGCTCAGAGATATAAAGAGTGTCCTGACTGTACTTCCAAGCATTAAGCATTGGATAACTTATTGAAAATGTTAGATTTGCTAATTGCGTACTCGCAGATGTAAGTAAGGAAATTCTGTTGAATAGCGCGATGTGTGTCTATTTATATATACTTCCGACTTCGACTCTTACCATACATATGCAATAAGTTGCGCGTACAGTGAGAGCTTGTACGAAAAAGTTTTTTTCATATTTTTCATATAATATTAACAGAACAATATCAAAGTATACGTTAAATTTAGCAAACTTATCAAAATAAATTTTCATGGTGTTGTATTTATCGCATAGCACAACATATACATTTTAATACAAACTAGCGTGTTAATCTTTAATTATGGATTATCTTGTTTACGACGTAGCTCTTTTCGCAACAATTTTCTCTAAGCAATCATTGAATCGCAGCAATATAGAATTAATATAAAAATAGAGTATAAAAATACATGAGCGATAAATATAAGAATCTCTCGTTATTCTTTCACTTTATTATTTTTAGAATTCTCATTTGCAATTATTATATTTGTGCAATATATTAATAAGCTAATAACTAAAATTGTGTGATTGAATTATAAATTAGAATTTATTTTCTGGATGAAGTAACACAATAATTTAACAATATAAATGTAGAATAACAAATATTAAATATAAATGTCTACTATAAACGTAACAAGTATGCAAAAATTTATCATCATTTATTTTTTTGCATTTTGTGGCGCGCTATTACTCTCGTTAGACAAAAAATTAATAAATTAATTTTTATTGCTATCTTTTTATCGATGATTTTCATCACTTTAATTTATAAACATACATATAATTTATAAATACATTGTATCGCGAGAGTCTGTCACACGTTTCCTATTAAGTTTACACATTTTCTGTTTTTTCAGATGTCGATAAGACATTACACATTTTCTATTTTACGAATGGCGAGTAATATAGAACATCTATTTTTAATTGAATTAATTTACTCGACTGTTGATACATTTTTACGTTTTTACTTTTTATGCATTATTTTATTGTTATAAAAAAAAATTCTACATTTATAAATATGTGTATTGTTAAATTAGTTTTATATAATGCAGCTTTTTTCTCTTAAAGAACTTAAAAATTGTAAAAAAAATGTTCTTCTGTATTAATTCACGCAGAAACCCTTAAATTTACAATATTATAATTATATAATTATAGTAAGAATTCATAAAAAATACAAGAAATGGCTGCGTCTAATTTTTAAAATGTAAGAATTTAATCTAAATTTTGTCAGATAGATAAAAGAAGAAAGACACAATAATGCTATATCTTTTAGTAAACCTATACAATTTTTGGATAGCAATTTGAATAATTGATTGAACAATTAAAACCTAATAGAGATAACGTTCAGATAGATTTACTATTAAAGTTTTCGATCCACATGAAAAATATAAAACGATGCGAAAGAGTGTAACGTTGGGATTAAAGAAGAAATGCATGCAGCTTAAAATGCCTATCTCAAAGGAGTTACAGGTGGTTGAACGACACGAAAGAAAAACACGAGAAAAAGAAACCACGAGCACATCGCCTTGAAGTGAAGGAAAAGGAACGTAAGTAAGGGAAATCTATAGTAAGATGGGCACAGTTCGATAGTGCAATCGGATTAATGTGCAAATAATACAGATTGAATTCAAATTGGATAATGTGGACAAGAATATACGTATATAAATTGAATATATAAAATAAATGTGAGTAAATATGTAAAATAAAAATTCAACGGAGGAGAATTTTATTGCACTTATATTGATAATTAATTTTGCAATAAAAAAAATGTATAAAATAACAGCAATATTAAAATAATATAATAAAGAAACTAATTGCGTTATAATTAATATATAATTTTTAATAATTTTTTATAAATAACATTTGAAAAATTTGCATTAAATTAATAAAAAAAAGCAATTAAGAGAGAAAAGGAAAGAGAGACAGCTAGATAGATAGACACTAATATACTTCGAACTACTCAAATAAAAAGGTATATTATAATATGTTTTTATTTATTAGTATTGTGTATAGAAAATATATCAATTTTACGTTAATAAAATATTGTTTATTTTATAAAAGTACATCTTTTACAATTACATGCACAAGAGAAAAGTTACAAGAGAAAAGTTGAAAAGTTTTATTTGTGCAGTTTCATCTTATTCGCCACGATAATATCTAATAAATTGCTTTTTAACGCACATTTACATCTGACATTTATTACATGACAGTTCTCTCTGACAGTAGTAGTATAAATGTAAATTGTAATACATAAATACCGAGAAGAGAATACCTCTCAAATATTAGGAGATAAAAGAAGACGTTATCGACACAAGAAAATGCTATTGACAAACATGTCGAATGAGATAAAGAGAGAAATAAATGCCACGCGGTAAATATCAAATCAAATACGTAAATCTAGTCTCCATCAACAACAATTCGTACTTATTATTATTTTTTTTTTTTTTTTTATTGCTAATATGCCGTGTGAAGCACGAAAATGTGTAAAAATCTTCCGGCGGGTTAAGAATCTGGAGAGCTTTTATGCTGTACGCCACCTGACCGGCCCCCGCACCGCACCGCACCACACCCGATATATCGCTGCGCTGGCGTGGCACAATCCTCCCTCCTCCCCTACGACCCACGAAGGCACGAAGCAGATCCGAATCCAAAGGGTAGTTTCTCCGTGGGGTAGCGCTCGTGGCGGGTGGCGCCGCTCTTCAATGTTCACGGTAAAGGTAAGGGTGGCTCTAGGGTGGCAGGCAAGCCCCGATTCCAGTGGATTCCAGGCCTCGGTTAGTCGTGCGAGGTGCGAGGGTCGCGCAAGCTCGTAAGCTCGTCGTCACCGTGCTCGTGCTCGTTGACGCCGCCGCCTCAACCAGCCTCGACGAGCAGCTGTCAACGAAATTGCTGCCCAATTATAATATCTTGTCCATCCAATAACCATTCGACCGATTTGAGACTGATATAGGGATTCGGAACAAGAGGAACGAAAAGAACGAGAAGGAAAAGCGGCGGAAGACGACGATGCCAAAAAACGAGCGAAACACGAAGTCGGATGCTTGGTACGCGAGATAGTGGAGAACACTCGACGGATAACAGTGGCGATAGTGACCAGTGATTTCGGCACGATTAGCAGCTTAATTGATCAGGTGCGGTATCCTGCTGATTCGCTGACTGCGCCGCGCGCGCGTCCCCCGTCCGCCCACCAATACCCTCTTCACTCACCCCCGCAAACGCTCACAGCTCACGACTTACGGCTCACGGCTCACGGTACACGATACACACGGTGCTGCTTCTCTATTTTCCCTACACTGCCACTACTACCCTCTTGCCTATTCCGCTGCATGTTCGTTCGTAGTGTTTGTACACTTGTACCGCAGTGTCGGCTGATTAATGATATAAACGGTTGATTAAGAAACTTAGCACGTAGCGGAGAGGATCAGCCATCAGGGGATAACGCGACTTAGACCAATACAGCAAATAAGGCAAATATCCTGTCGCATCGATAACTAATCCGGCAATGTTTTCGACTGATTATTCATGTATGTCGTTTGCTTAGCACTTGACGGAGCAATCGAGCTATCGAGGATAAAGATATAAATAGATGTTCCAGAAGTGAATTGGCAGAATCTTGTCTTGATGGAAAGACTGCGAGAGACGAAAATCAGTTCGCGTTTTATTTATTCATGAAAGCTCTCTAATACTTATCACTTTTTGCTTGTTTACTCCCCTCCCCCCCCCTCTCTCTCTCTCTACTTTCGCACATAGTTTTATTTCTATATATATCGGCGCCCCTCAAAATTCCCCTCATTACGATCAATGAACTTGGAAGCCGAGCCGAAAGATAAGCAAACATCGCGCGAAATAGTCGAGTTTATGGTTCGTCCAATGTGTGGATCGGATCGATATTTATGAAAAAAAAACGTACATAAAAATCTTTGCTCGCGCTAACCAGAGCGTATGTATATACGACGCAGTCAGTTTGTCTTTTTCTCTTTCTTTTTTTTCCTTTTTTTTAAGTTTCGATACGTAACCTTTCACACCTTTTTGCGACGTATGGCCGCATACTTTTAGCGAATTACGCCGGTATGGGCGGTATGTCGACATTTCGATTCAACAGCCAAGAACTTTACTTTTTCCGCCGTAATGCGGATGAGAGTCCTTTCGCTTTTTGTACTTTCTCAATTATTCTATGCGGCCGTCTTCATAAATTCCGGCTAATTATACGCGTACAGCGTAATGCTCTTTCACGATGAATGACCGCCAGGCCGAGCGATTCCGTCCACCTCGTTTTAACCACCCTCGTATTTCAAATTTCAGCCACTGAATACGTAATATGGTTCATTTGAATCGGGCAATTTTAAGTACGTGTTGCATTTACATGTAAATTGATCTCTACCCATCTGAATTAATTCTGATCAACCTATAAGTCATGTTTTTGCTATGACCTGATCTTATAAATATTAGTTGAAATTAATTGAGGATATAGCTATTCATTCTTTTAATTAGAGCTTATCAAACCTCAAGATTACTTTTAATTTATGTTTTGTACATGATATGATTGTTAGAAAAAAAATTAGAAAACAATGCATGCGTATAGCAATATTTTACAAGAAATATACATATTTACGGGCACAATGGTGCATTTTTAAAGTTATATAAAGTGAAAGATAAAGGAAAGCGCGAATATAAGTAATAAATTATTTACTTAAGACTTAAGCACAGTTTGCAATCAGTTTGCTGTCCGATCAAAATGTCTATCTCTTCTTAAAAGAAGTAACGCAAAGTATAATAAATACTTAGCGAGCTTTGTGGTCAGATCGATATATCTTAGCAGTGTATAATTCAACGGCATAATTAAACAAATTTCTTATGTAGTGTAAACATAATTAAAATTAACACAACGTAAAAGTTAACGTAAAAATTAAATTAATCACGAAACTCGTATAATTTTCAATCCGCATTTGAACTGGATATTCCGTTACGACGTTTTGTTTGTTAACGATGATTTAAGAGTTACACGGGCACGAGTACGTTTCGAGTATGTAGTGTCAAGTCTCGTCGCGATATCCAATTTCAATGCGGAGCAATTATCGTGGGAGTGTGTTTTCGATATATCCGTTAGATCTCAAACGCCATCGAATTTATTGCAAAGCCAATTTCAGTATTCCAAAAAATCGCGTTTTTTTTTTATTTCACGCGTCTGTCTCGAACACGCGTGTGTCGAGGAGATCGACGAATGTTCAAGCTGGAGGGTTGTTTGTGCTCTACAATCTATACCTCGTCATCATGAGTGCTTTAGCTTTACTGTCGAGAGACGTGACCTAAATGATTTTAAAAGTGAGAAAAATAAATATAATCGATGCGTGGAATTCCCTTATGCGTATAGAGAACGCATACAATATACACTGCTCTTGCATTCGAATTTACTGGTGTAAAAATAAGATTTTAAGAAGTCAGACGAGTATTAATTCCGCAGAATAAAATTCCTAATCTTTAAAAGGGGAATATTTAAAAAACAAAGTATAAAATAAATAACTTGAAAATATATGCATTTAAAAAGCGATTGTAACTTAATTCATTTTTAAAAAGTCAAAAATTTTTAATTTTATGAAATTAAATCGTTTATCATACATTTTTCTTAATCCAGATCTTCTTAATCCTCCACAATCATTTAGCCGTTTAGCGGATTTATAAATCTTTTTATCTATTTGTAAATTATAGATTTACTCACGTAATAAATTTTTCCGCATGCTTAAAACTCATTTGTATAATGGAAAATCAATGTCAACCATTTACAAGCTTGTCTATATCTTTTTATTTGTATGTGAAACTGACAATAAAAGAGAAATATAATGGCATCGCCATTATATTGTACCATATCTTATTTTTAGTGAAATACTGATAGAAACAAACACACATTTCGCAATGAAAACTGAAAATATTCCGTAAATGGCCGATATCTGCACAGTTTATCCCGAGTTTACCCATTAAACAAGATGTTCTCTTTTAAGCGATTTACACAAGTTTCCTTTATAACATCAACGTGATGAAGCGACCGAGATATAGCTTAATAAATGTTCAAATTCGATCGCTGACGAGTTACCTCTTTCATGAAAAATTCAACGCCGGGCGCAACATCGAGGAGGAAGATGGATCTTCTATTTATCTTATTTGTAATTTATCGGCGACATATTATCATGTAACGCAGTTAAACAAAGTTTAACGAGTTTTACTTTGACACATTGACATACGCGAGACTTTGTAAAAATGACGTCTCTTTTACCTAACGGTCGCTTCGCTGCGAGCACAAGCTTACTCGGTGCGCGAGTCACTTTTATGTCGTACTAATTAATGAATATAATCACTTTTAATGCGTCGACGAGAGAAAACGAGAGATCTAGACCGAAAGACTGAAATGACATTGAGCAATAAGAAGGTAAAATGAATCACATAATATCCAGACGTAAGCTGCAACACAGACAAAAATCGTGAAAAATATTAGTAAAACTAAATTCTAAAAAGACATTTTTAGCAAATAATATTGTTACTAACTTTAGCAAACGATATTTCTTTAGTTTCTATTAACTGACAATAAGTACCAATTGGTATGCAAACATAAACAGTATTCGGGGACACATCCCAAGTTTGTTTTTATCACACAAAAAAACTAAAAAACAATAGAAAAGCTGGCGCTTGAGAGACATGACGAAAGTACCTGCCTCACGTCGGAAAACAATTTACCGAAAGTCGAAGACGAAAGTAGAGGGACTTTTCGTGAACGTGACGGTTTTATCGGAAAACTTTTCGGTAATATGGCAATTTGCCTGTAATTTTATGACGTTACGTGCGGGAAATCGCGGAAGGCTGTAACGCAGAAGCGGCTGTCTATCTACAAGGTTACACGCGTCCCATTAATGCGTTTCATCGCAAAAAAACATGCGCTAAACGTGATGCTCCGGCTGCGACGTAATACGAAAACACGGCGAGGATTTATTACAAGTATCAACGCGAGAAAATCAAGTCGACATTCTTATCAAAGTTGCCGCAATACATACACGCGCCTTGAAAAATGCCTCAGTGAAATAAAATACTTACAAGAACATTTTTGACATATTTGCAGATTATAATTGATTTTAAATATAACTAAAAATTGAATTCTATACCTGAAAATTGAATATATGGCATATATGGAATGTTTTTGAATTTTGATGAAAAATAGATAGAACAAAGAGAGTATTTCAATTTGCACAACGTTGATTTTAAATGATCGATTCTTTGATGAGTTTGAAGTAAATTTTTTTTTAACGAAAATGTTGAAGCTAATAAATCCCGAGTTATGTAACGATTGAAAAAATAAAAGACTTTTAACGATGTATTATTTATAGAGAAGTAAAAGATATTCTTTTTTATCCTTAAATTTTAAATCTTAAATCCTAGATAAATTTCAATTTAATAGAATTATAAAAATTTTATTATAGAGATACGTAGATAATGCAAAAAATTAGGAAATTAATGTAAATGATAAAATAATTCTTCTCAATATTGATTGGCTAAGATGAGATGCTCTATATTCAGAATAACCGTTGTTAAAATTGAACTTGCGAGTTGTTGAACGCTATATATCTACACTTATTTTCGTCCACGTTACTGTTTTAATCTCTTCTTATGTTGGATTATGTGGAATTTCGATTTAAGCTATTTACTATACGCAGCTATTTACTCTTGTTGCCGATTGTTTGTTCAAGAAAACGCAAACGTAAATGTAATACAAAGCTATAAGTCGATATTGTTATAAGCCGTCTGTCGCACAATAAAAGCTCGTTCGCGCTGCAAAGCTGCGCCAAGAGTTCAAAGTACATCAAAATATCCTCTTTTGTGCCGTCAAGAAGTCCCCTGTGCTTGTTCAGCGTGCAGTTGTAAGACCGGCTCGTACGATGTGTGATCGGAGAACTTTATTAGTTTCTCTTTCAGACGTGTTCGAGCAAGGTTTCTTACAGAAAATGCCCAACAACTAATCGTAAATATGAATAGCGCAACATATTTTCCGCTAAACATGCACATACGTCACTTTTGCATAGCAAGTTCTTCAATTACGATCTTATAAAATTCAATGAAGTAAAAGGAAACATAATCCGTTCAAGATTTA